TACACTGACATGCACAACCAAGTTGTTTCAGGTCAGGGGTCAGGCCATAGGAACAAAGGTCAGCTCAAGCACTCACAGAATCACACAGTAGTTGAGAAGGGATCAGGTGACAGAGGACAGGGCCCTCACACAATCACACTTCAGTGTGGACAAGGGAGAGGGACAGGGTCAGCAGGTCAGCTTAGATACTCATAAAGCCACACTTCAGCTTAGAAAGTTATCTGGGGTTGGAAGTGGAGACTGAGAGATTAACTCAGACACTCACACAGTTACACTTTGATCTGGGCAGTGGTCACCAAAGGTTCCCCCCTGCTCCTTGAAGATGATGAGGTTCCAAACAGCCAGGAATGTGTCCTCAGGAACATGGAAGTGGAATAGCTCAGTGCTGGCGAAGGAGCGGAAAGGACTCAGCTTGCGGGGTGAGCAGGTGGAGTAATCGGTCAGGAAAAGGCCTCCTGGGAATCAGCAGAAAGAAAGGAGCAAAGAAGGACAGAGAGCATTTCCGTTAAAGAGGCAGGCCAAGCTTCCTCTCCAATAACACTAATTCAACAAATGCTCTCCTCTGAGTTGGGTTTTATGCTGCCCTAGCCATCACCTGGTTTAATCCTTACAGTAATCTTATTAAAACAAAACAAAATGCCTTTTACAGATAAGGAAATTCAAAGTTAGACCAAACAGAGGATTCAAACCCACTCCTGTCTAAATCCAAAACCAGGTCCCTTTATACAACCTCACAGCTACCCCTCACATAGGAGCCATTGTTCTCTTCTTACCAAGCAAGCCTAACAAAACAGAGGTGTGGAAGGAGTGCACGCATGTGTGTGTGTGTGTGTGTGTGTGTGTGCGTGTGCTTGTGTGCGTGTGTGTTTTGGCAGGGGCCCTAAAGCAACTGAGCAGGCTGGAACTCCACCTGCGGGGCTGGGGAGTCAGCAGGGAACTGTGTACCTTCCTTGTTTGTTTTCTTCCCTTTTCTGTTCCCCTGTGGTCAAGAGCAATAAAAACCCTCAGAAGCTTTACAAGAGCTGTCTGTATCCTGGCTCAAGGCAGGAGAGGGGAGGAGAAAGTGTGGTGAGGCTACAAGGGGCCTACTTGGGTGGCAGAGGTAAGGACAGAGACTGGCAGGCTACCATGAGAGTCCTCAAGAGAAGAGGAAAAGAGAATTGTCAAGTCCTCTAGGGTCAGAATGAACTGCCAGGGGGAGGTTCCCCAGAGGGAGGCGCAGTAAGGTAGTCAGTTGATGACCCAGTGGAATCTCAAATCACTTGGGAATAGTCAAAGTAGGCAGGTTGGGAGGTGGGGAGGAAGTGGTCATCTCTAGCTGAAATGTCCAGATTCCTGGTCATGGATGTCAGGAGCAGCCAGGGTGAGCAGGAAGGTGGTGTCAGCTGCAAGGCAGACATGACCCAGTTGCTCAGCTCACTAGGGAAAACAGACCCCAAATAGCAAGCAAGGTCCCCTAGAATAAAGCTCCGAGGAATCTGACTGCTTGAGACTTCAGACCAGCCTCCCAAAAGCCCAGGAGAAAGCCTCCAGGACAGCTGAGAAGGGGAGAGACATGAGCAGCCTCAAGACAGAATAAGAGTTGGGGATTAGAGAAATCCTGAGGGGAATTTTCAGTCAAGTAGGAAATATCCACAAGGCTTACCTTATCTGATAATCTCCCTCTATAGAGATGGGAAACATAAGTACAAAAATGAGGTGTCTGAAATAACAGAGAAAGAGGTATCTGGGAGAGGGAGGCTGCTGGAAGAGAGAATGCTGATGAAGGTCGGCCCCACTGAACTGGAGCAACCTCGGGAGTCACCCTGCAGAGAGCTGCCCTATATAAATGATGGCCATTGGCTCTAGACTGGCCTCTGCTCATCTTCCAAGGTTGTGGTTACAATTGAGGACTACTCGGTTCAGCTCAGATCACATGATCAGTCTCAACGTCAGCAAGACCTGCCACTCTACAAGCTGACCACTGCCCAGAGAGACTCACAGAGCAGTGTCTAGAGAACAGTAGAGATGCATCCAAGAGGGATGAAGGGAAATGGCAATAACTGATAGGGAAGATAGGCTTCCTAGGAACCTTGGCTGTGACAACTGGGAGGCAGAAGGCTAACAGCTGAACAGCTTGGATACTATTGTTCCAAGGAGTCAGAGTTCTGGAGCACCCTCTGCTGGGTTGGGGAAGGGCTGCTTCTCCTCAAAGCTGGGACCAGGGATGGGTCATCAGATCAACTACTGCTACTGTTAGAAGAAATGTTGGTTATTCCTCAGTAAAGACCCTCAGAGACCAAGTGAAAAGTAGCTGATGACCACAGGGAAACGTGGACAGACAAGCCCAAAGAGCTCCGGGATTCAAAGGACCATGGTATAGCTGGAGAACTGGAGAACTAACTAAGTTATCCCCAAAATGGCCACAGGCTACAGAGGGGTCACAGACTAGGCTGGTAGGCAATAGAAATGAGCAGCAGTTGGGAAGCCTGGGAGCGATCTAGAAGTTTTGAAGTCAGATACTTGAGAAAGGGTCCATAGCCCTTTTACCCAAAGCTTTAGTTTGGAGTTTCAACGGGCCTACCAGAGTTGTGTTACTAAGGAAATGTGGGCAAAGCCCTAGCCAGGCTCAGATGAACCTGGCCTGAATATCACAGTACTTCTAAGATGAAGCTAGGGTGCTTTCCTACCACCACCCAAAAACCACACACCCATGCATTCACATACACATGTGTACACACACACACACACAAACACACACACAGAGGCTGAGGATGGCCCTGCTACTGATAACACTACATAGAACAAAAAGTAATTTCCCTTTTTCTTTTTTCTTTTCTTTTTTTTTCTTTCTTCCTTCTTTCCTTGCTGTTTCTTCCTTTCCTTCTCTTTCTTCCTTTCCTTCTTTTTCTTTCTTTTCCTCCTTCCCTCCCTCTCTCTCTCTTTCCTTCTTTCTTCTTTCTTTTACCAAAGGGTGCATACACTCACCAGAAAAAGAGAGAGAGAGGGAGAAAGCACCTCCCCATGGAGTGTGGTCATGCCACAATCCCTTCTCCTCCGTTTCTCCATCCTGATGAGATTTGAGGCATGCACACATACACGCCTAGCATGTCTTTCAAGCTGCCAGGGCTGAGATTTAAACTCTACAGTCAGCTATGTGAGTTCCAGCTCCCTTAACCACCAGGCCACTGGGGCGGCCCTCATAAAGTAATTTATTCAGATGGCGAAGAATGTCTGGGTTATCAACTACAGCCAGCTAAGCCTAAGGAAAAGGTCCAAGATTCAAGGTTGAGACAGGAGACCCAGGAGGTAACTTCCATTCCTAAAGTGAGACTGAAGTCAACAATATAAGCATTTGTGCAGCTCTGCGCTATGATGGTCCTATGACCCTGCCAACCTCTTCTCAGGCAAGCCCATCACCACCACTAAGTTATCTCTGCACACCAGGCCACAGTTGCCAAGACGTGGACTATTAACTGCACAAAGGGCAGCCCTGCCTGCAGCTGGGCCTATTCATTGCTCCTTTTCTAACTTCATTATGATTCTTCACAAAGCAAATGAGCCTTCTTCTGGGTAATTACGCTCACATTCACAACTTTCTGCTTTGTATATCCTGTGGTTATCAGTCACCCTCCTCTCCTAACCAGCCCAGTGCTTTTGCTCAATGGGCTCCTGAACAAAGAAGCCAAGATGGCAGGCATAGAAACTATGACTTGCCAACAGTATGGGCTCAGCCTCACCAAAACACTAAAGCTGACCAGCCACTGCCTCTGCTGAGTGTCCAACTTGTCAGTGGCAGTAACCACCATTGAGCCTGCCCCTGGCTCCTTCCTTCCAGGAGAAGGGCTGGGGACAGATGGATTACTTATATAAGCTGCGGGGGATACCCAACACCACGTTGGACCTAGGAACTACCTACTTCATTTCTGAAGGTAACACAGAAGCTCTCTGTATCAAGACCAGGCAGAGCTGAAGAGGAATGTGTATAGGCCACATGTCCTCTCCCTCTCATGCAACAACACAGGCATTCAGGACACATCAGCTCACATGCATCCCACACAACATACATATGCCCACACTCACCAACACACAAGCATGTACATATACTACACATGCCAACATTCCCACAAATCTCACAAATCAATTACACACAGAGACACATACATGCCCAGGCATCTCTGCAGGGGGTGTGGCCTTTGGTGTGCATTGGCCTCAGGCTTGTACACTGAAGCAGGCTCCCAGAGCTCATTGAAACCTCCTCCCTAACCCCAGCTGCTTTGTTAGCTGTTATTGTCAAAGACTCCATCAAACAGAGCTCCATCCTGTCTAGAGTGCCACCCTCCAGAGGTGGTTAGGGGTCAGAGCCATAAGACTACAGTGATTTCATGAGGGGCACATCTTTATGGCACAGCCCCTGGGCCAGAACCTACTCCTCCTCCCACATTCCACCCTCTAGGAACTTGGACCTCTCTGTCTCCTATCCATCTCTCCCTTGCTGGATGGTGGCCTGAGGTTAACACCTGGCAAATGAAGAACAGACTGTGGATGAAGCCCCTTGTGGGCAGAAATGGAGACAAGAGGCTGTGCTTTGGGGTTTTCCCCATTTGATCTGTTTTTCTATTAGGCATACATTGCAGTGGGGGAAAGAAAACAGTGATATAAGATAGAAATTACAAAACCTTTTTCTGGCCCTAGCATTGCCATTTCTAAGCTGTATAACTTTGGACAAATTGCTCCCTTGCTGAGCCTCAGTTTCCCCATTTGTAAAATGGTTTCTGAGTTTCAATCCTGCTCTAAAAAATCTCAGAAATTATTCCTAGGCAAATCAAGATTTTTTTGGAATAAGACTATTTTAAAAAAAGAAGAAAAACTCATTATAATGGCAACTAACCCATGTCCATCTGTTTGCCACATGATATCTTCAAAACTGTTTTCTCAACCCTGTTCAAATGCATGCGGACTATCCCAGAGGTTTAGGCTGTATCTTCCCACACTAGACTAGAGACTTCTGGTATAAGACTATGTCTCTCCCACCAAACTGTGAGAGCAGGAGCAATGCCCTCAAGACTCCTTAGGAAAGCAAGGGTCAAAGTGAGGTCAGGAGGGACACCAGGAAAGAAAACCTTCCAGTCTCCATCCTAGGGACTATTAACCACCTGCTGAGCTTCAAACCCAGTTACCACTTTTCTGACCCTGTTGATTCCTCTGTCATGTAAGTCTTCTCTCCTCCCTGACTCTCCCCACTTCTTCCCCCAGTGATCTAGTCCCCAAGGTCCCACCTCTCCTGAATCTCTCCAGCCCACCCCTCCCTACCAGAACCCATCCCTGCCTCAATCTTTCCTGCTTCTGCACTCACCAGCCCCTGGGCCAAGGACAGAGAACAGCAACAGCAGCAAAAGGGCTGGAGGCAGCTGGAGCCCAGACCTGAGTCGAGGCTGGGAGAGGGGCAGAGTATGAGAGAGAGGGGGGACTAGTGGGAGAGAATTGGGTAAACTCAGAGATAAGGGCAAAGGCTGAGATAATGGGTTAGGCTGGACTGGGCACTGGGGCTTAAACAAGGACAGGTGGTGGGATGAAAGGAGGGGCTCTGATGGGGACTGGAGCAAGGACCAGGGTCTGGCCAGCGGCTTAAGCAAACACTGGGAATGGGGTTGGGACAGGGGGTGGAACAAGGACCCAGGTGGGGATGGGGGCCAGGCCAGGGGATAGGACAGGGACTGGAGGGGGACCCTGGACCTGGACCTTGGCATTTGCTGGGACCCCGGCCGGAGCTGGGACCGTTTTGGAAAGAGGGGCGAGGGCGGAGCTGGGGGCCAAGGCCGGGATCGGGATAGGACAAGGGGCCGGGACAAGGGCTGGGCCATGGCCCGGGGCGGGGGCGGGGCCGGACAGGCCAGCGCGGGGCGCTCGCAGAGCTGACCCTCGGCTCCGCTCCCCACCCCCAGGGGGTGGCCTCCGGTGTCCTCGCGGGCCCGGGGCCGGGGTCGGGGACCTGGATGGGAGTTCAGGCCTGGGCGACTCCGGGCTGCGCTGAACCCGCGATAACCAGGCCCCGCGGCGGCGGCCTCTGCCTGACGTCATATGACGCTCCGCCCCTCGACCAGTTCAATTGGTCCCTCTCACTAAAGCCCGCCCCCCTGCCGTATTCTATTGGTCTCTAACTTAGTCCTGCTGGGCTTCTCAGACTGACTCCGCTCCAGCTCCAGCTACACCAGAACGCCTTTCTCAGCCCAGCCAGAGACCCAATGTCCCTCTCATAGCCACTGGCCGCCCCATTGATATCTCATAGAACCCCTACAGAGACCCTCGTGAACCTAGACTCCCCCCGTCCATGGTCGGACACACAGACATCCGTAGATCCTACCCAGAGACTTGCTCAGGGACATCCCTCAAAAATCCCCCTCTGCAGAAGTGAACCGGCTGGCCTTGTCTCCTGCGGGCCCAAAGCAGCCCTTTCAGGAAGCTTCGCCCACCAAGGAGAACAGACTGCTGTTGCCATGGAGACCGTTGGGCGTTCCAGTTGCCCGGGTGACCGATCGTCCTCTCCCGGAGTTCCAGAGGCTTCAGTCAAGCCCCTCCCTCGTCGGCCCTGGACCGCCCTGCCCCTACCCCTTCCTGCCCTTCCCCAAGTCAGACCATAACTCCTTCCCGTAGTTGTGCAGATGTCCAAGTCCCCTCCCCACACACTAGACTTTCAGGCAAGGCCATTCACCATCAGCGCCTGCAGCCGGGGCTCATTCACAATCAAGAACCTCCCCTCCCTCAGGACCAACGCTTCCTATCCTGAGGCCAGATCCTGACCTAACGACTCGTGACAACCAAGCTAAAGCCCAGAGGTATGTAGTTTCTCCAGTGGCCCTCTCCCTCCAAACCTTGATCCGCTTCCTGCTCCTAAACACCTCAGTATTTCAGCCCCGCCCCTTCAGTTCCACTGACTCCCAGTCTCTATCTTCCATCTTTATCCGCCCCTCCACCAATTCCCTTCTCCCTCTCTCTTTCCTCTCCCGCTCCTTGCACCCTCTGGTTCTCCACCCTCACATCCCTTTTCCCTCTTAGCTGACTCTGGTCATCGTCTTCACCATCTTTCTACCTCTTCTATTTCCATTCCCAAATTTCCCCTTCAGAAAGGCTCTAATTGATTAGCTTAAGAAGTGCTGTATCTAGTGTGTTTGGAGCATGAGGGGAAATTAGGGAGCAGGGAAAGTTAGCGCAGGTATCTTCAGGTAGTGTTGCAAAAGACAACAGGCCTTGAATATCAGGGTCAAGAAACTAGGACTTGATTATTTAAACTGAGTCACTGAATGTTCTTAAGCAAGGGAATGCCAATGTTGGGTTTGCATTTTAGAAAGATCTTGGTTCAGGTCCAGCAGATAGTGTAATGACTCCCACTTGGCTGTCTGTGGTTTGAGTCCCAGACGCTGGCGCTTGAAACTTACATCAGGCGCTTGCCCACGCATGCTCAAAATCCCAAACACTTGGCCGACTGCTGTTCAAATCCTGGACCTGGCAACTTGAAACTTATGCCAGGCATGTGTACATGTGTGCCCAAAATCCTCAGAGGAAAATGGAGGAGAAGAGATTGCAGTGAAGTCAAATATGAATGACATCATCAAGGCAGGGTGTGTGTGGCCCCTAGACAGAATCAGACTATGGACAGGATCCTGCCTTATACCTCATGGCATTCTCCTGTACTCTTGGGAACCAACCCCCAACTTTGGCTTCCTGGTCCCTGGCTCTAGAACTCCAGAGACTGTCCTCCAAGATTCTGAGACATGCCCAGGGCCCTGTTCTTAGATTAGCTAGGTAGCTGTGTTCCAGCTCCTTCCTGGGGCATGGTTCTCTACCATCTACTGATGGGATTTTGCCTACTTTAGCCTTCCCATCTTTAAATTCTAACTCCCTAACAACCCAGAGCAGCATGCCACATGAAGTCTGAGCCCCTGGTTGAACCTCCTGGTATCACACCCTGAGACCCAGAGCTGCATCCATCTTATATCTCAGGTGCACTGAGAAGAGCATCCTAACTCCTTAACGCCCTGTTAACCCTGGGCTCTGTCCTGACTGGCAGAACCTTCTATCCCAACCTGGGCCCTCTTCTACCACTAGATGGAAACAGATGAGATCACAGAAGAACCTCAAACCACCATGGATGCAGAGGAGCACCTCTCTTCAAAGGACCCCTCTGCTGAAGACTTACAGGAGCCCCCTGTCACTGAAACCCTCTTGGAGCCTACTATTTCTGAGACCTCTTTAGATTCCCATACCACTGAAGATCTTTTTGTGCCATCTGCTTCCCAGCCTCCTTTAGAGATCCATACCTCTGAAAGCCTTTTGGAGCCTTCCACCTCTGAGACCCCTGTAGAGCCCCATACCTCTGACTCTCCTTTGGTTCCATCCACTTCCCAGACCCCTGTAGACCCCCATACCTCTAAATCTCCTTTTGTGTCAACCACTTCCCAGACCCCGTTAGAGACCCACACTTCTGAAAGCCTTGTGGAGCCTTCCATCGCTAGGACTCCTTCAGAACACTCCAAGTCTGAGATCTCTTTGGAGAACCCTACCTCTAAGACCATGTTGGAGACTCACATCTCTAATACCCCTGAGAAACATCTTTCTTTTTCTCCCTCATCAGTAGTCCCTATGTCTTTTTCTGATGCTTTGAAAGAAGACTTTGCCTCTGAATCTTCCACTGTGTTCCCATGGACAACAAGGTTCACCCAGCTCCCTGAATCTGAGAGGCTTCCAAAGCACTCCCTCCCAGGCCCTTCAGTCCAGGTCCTTATGGACACATCTTCAAAGCAGAAGGAAGAGTCAGGAGAGGACAAGAAGGAGGGCATGGATACCAGTGATGGCACTGCTCACACAGCCCAGCCTGGACACCAGCTGAGCAAGAAGAAGGGAAAGAAAGGTGTTGGCCATAATTCCTCCTGTCCTTTCCCCTATGCTTAGCACTGTCCCCTGTACCTGACCTGCCCCAGAATGAGGGACTGTGTTGCTCTTGGCACAGCCTGTTCTCTAGTTTTAAGGTGTCTTTACTTCCCCTCCCTTCCCAGGTTACACAGTCCACCCAGTGGTCCCTGCTAAACAGGCAGAGCTGGTGGAAGTGGCTAAGGCAATGCACAGAGAACAGTTTGGTGCCCAGGTGAAAAATCTTTTCCAATGGGAGACGGATGCAGCTCTGAATGCCATCCAGACTGGTAAGCCTGTGTGGCCTTGAACACCTCCAATGGCCTATGGAACTCCTCCAATATAGAAGGATCTGGAAACCTGTCCATTTAACAGATATTTGCCCCTCTATAGAAATGTCAATGCCACCTGCCCAGAATCTGGAAGGAGAACAGGCCAAGGAAACCAGGGTGAATGCAGATAAAATGTGACGATATTCATACAAAACCCAGATGGGAGCAGGTGTCTGAACTCAAGCTGTTAAAAACAAGGGCCATGGGACAACCCTAGATCTAGGAGCTAGGTAGCCAGCAGCAAACCCTAAAGCAGAGATGGCCCAGGACCCTGGATAATCTCCCAGAGACTTATTCTGACATGGCAAAGGGCCTTGGTCCCTTTGGCGGGACTCCATTAAAAGGCTGTCACTCCTGCATGCCAGACCCATGGTCATCTGGGTATCCAAAAGCTCTGGTTTTTCTCACCAGAGAGGAGAGTTGTGTCTTCTAGCCCCATTGATTCCAAGTCTCAGCCCAGAACAAGCATTCTTGGTAATCCTGTGAGTGTTATGCTGTGTGCAGATGAACTGTGTACACACATGCCATTCTGTGCATGAGCACATCCTGTGTTGCTGAATCGCACATCTATAGAGATTACCCAGATGTGACCCTTGGATTTCAGACTAAATTCAATAGATACTGCATTTATTTTTATTATTTACTCAGTCTTCCTACTTCCTTTCCCGTTATGATGGGAATAGAACTATACTGAAAGGCCTAAGATATAAAGACAACCAGGTGATTTATATCCTTAGCCCTCCTCTGTGTAATTTACTTTCCCCATTCTCATGCAGGAAGTCTCCTCTCTCTACCCCTGACCAAGAAAGTCAGTGATGTCATTTGTTTCTCAGTTTCGATTCAGGCTTTGAAATGGCTTCATTTGCTTATTTTAACATCTGTAACTCTTCGCTTCTTGCAAGTGCAAGATCTGATCAGTGCCCTCATTTTCTTTCTCAGAGCTTCCTAATTCCCACTTTTCGAGACCACTGCATTTCTTCTTATTTAAATAGAACTTACTTATTTTCCAGTTTAAACAGGCAGTTTCATAGATGAAGTTAAATGGCATGCAGTCTTAATCAGAGGTATTTAGGGTTCCCCTTCTAGTTTTGAGTGTCTTGGGTTCCTGGAGAGTCAGGACTCTGTAACAGTATACATGATGTATAGAGAATATCAAATATAAGCTTTTCTTTTATTCATAGAGTGAACATCTATTGAACACCAACGAGTTGCTAGGCATTGCATTAGATGTAGAGGTAGTTGTGTTGGTGGGGTTTGAAAGACAAAATCTCTCAAATAACTTGTACTTTTTAAGTTATTATTTATTTTATTTTATTAATTAATTCATTTTAATTTGACCAAAGAAAGACAGAGAGAGAGAGAGAGAGAGAGGGAAAGTGAGAAAGCAAGCCATCAGGTCTGGGACTCAAACCTCGGTCAGCCAATTGGGAGTCCAGCACCTTAACCACCATGCCACCTGCTGTCCTGAATTACTTATACTTTAATGAGAAACACCAATAAGTAAAAGGACAACTGGGCATCATGGCACACACCTTTTAATCCCAACTACTCAGAAGGGTGAGTCAGGAGGTTCACAAGTTCAAGACCAGCCTGGGCGACATAGTGAGACCCTATATCTCAAAAAAAGAGACAAAGGACAACTATAATTCATTCTAAAATCAATGTTGGCCCAGAATGCTACTTGCGCAGAGAAAGGGGTACCAAATTGTGGGTGTTTGAGGAACAATAAGCCTTGGAACGAGTGACTTCTCACTTGATATCTGTAATCTTAGTAAGAAGAGTTGCCAAGAGCAGAGTACAGTGAGATGACAGCAAGACTCCACAGAGAACTGTAGCAGTGCATTATGCCTGGTGCACATGAGTTGGGGGAGCAGCCCAGCTCAGCTCTGGAAGGGCAGAATTGTGCAGACTTTTCTGTGCCAACTGAAGAGTTAGGATTATATCCTGAGGGCAACCCAAAGGCACTGAAAGTTTCTATTTGTTTTTGTTGTTGTTTCGTGTTTTGTTTGTTTAGTTTTTGCTATAAGGCATGTGTGCTCTCCAGAGAGAGACAGAGAGAGAGAGAGAGAGAGAAAGGACAAGTAAGAAATCACTCTTCCCCATCCCCACGGGTGACAGCCACATCACAATCCCTTCTCCATACTCCTCTCAGGATTTTGGGCTTGCACATACCTGCACCCCAGTGTGAGTTTCAAACCGCTGAGCCAGAATTCAAACCACACTGTTGGCCATGTGGGATCCAGCCATCTTAACCTCCGTGCTACCTGCTGGTCCAGAACTTAAAGATTTCTAACTAGGACAATAACATGAACAGATTTTGTTTTCTGAAAGGTCATTCTGGCAGTAGGATAGAGTGGAGAATGACAAGAGTGGAGACAGGATGACTACCCTATGAGGCACTGGTAAAAATTCAGGCAAGAAATGGATGGGCAGAGAGAAGTGGACAGATTCAAGAAATGCTAAGAAGCACCAGATGTCTTATTCTCCTTCAGAGAGACACCTGGAATGATACCTTTGGAATTAGGCTGAAGTAGCTGATTGGATAATGATACCATTAATTAAATGCCTAAAACTGGGTAGACACTTGATAAGTATATGTTGCATGAACAGAGAACAAAGGAGGACCAACTTTGGAAGGAATAATTGAATGTAACACTTTTGAAGTGCTTATGGAACATGCTGGTGACTCGTATGGACAGCTGGTTATGTAGGTCTGAAGCTCAGGGGACAGGTTTAGGCCAGAGTCATCCATTATGTAAAGACAGCTGTACGGAGATGTTCTATGCTTAATAAAACGCTATCATGTAAATGTGATTATGCACTCATAGAACTGACCTGTCATACAGTCAGAATGGCATCATAGATCATTCTTCCCCCCTCCCCTGCTGTACTTGTCTTCTTGTAACAGGAAAGGCATTTGGAGTCAGAGCAGTGAGCAGAGGGTCCCACACTAGAATCCACAGCTGATGCCAGTTGTCCTACTTTAAGAGTACCATTTTGAGTTCTGAAATAGAATCAGTCTCCCTGGGGCCAGCAGGTGGCGTGTTGGTCAAGGACACTGGACTCCTGCATGGATGATTGTGATTCCAGTCCCAGATCTAGGAGCTTGCTTTCTCACTTACTGACTCTCTCTGTCTTCTCCCATAAAATTAAAATAATAATAATAAATAAAGTTAAATAAATAATTCTTTAAAAATAAAAAAAATCAATCTCCCTGTGCAAATTCTAGTCTTCTTCATCTGACACTGGACACCGATTCCTATCCCAATGCCTGAACTTGACTACCTCAGACCTTTAGGCTAGGCCTTGATCTGTGAGTGCTGATCCCTGTTCACCTCTGTACCTCATCTGTGGAACATGCTGCTCTGGACAGATTTCAGATTCTTCCAGTGGAATCCTGGCTCCTTCCCTCCCCCATTGTGACTCTGCCTATACCCTGTCCCCTCAACCAACCTTCCCAGGTGTGACAGAACACTGGTACTGCAGGCCGTCAGTATCAAGACATAAGCAGAAAAGCCAAAAGCCACTTCTGAACAGGCTTTAGATCCTGAGACCATGGGTAAGACAAGAAAACATAGTCTGGGACACAGAATTGTGGATCGTGACCCTTGCCAGTCAAAGACCAGTGACCTCCAACTCTTTTTCATCCTCCCTATGGAACTCCAAGATTATGTCTGGAATACTGGGTCTCTCTTCCCTCCTTAAGAAATTTTCTCCTTTGTATATTCAGTCAGGCAGTCTACATTCTCTGAGAACCTGCCATATCCTGTACTAAGATTAGAGACAGGGATAAAAGACCTTTCCCAGGCTGGCAGGTGGCATGGAGGTTGAGGTGCTGGACTCCCATGTGGTCGACCACAGTTCAAGTCCTAGACCTGGCAGCTTGCTTTCTCACTTTCCCTCTCTTGCTCTCTGTCTTTCTCTGGTCAAATTGAAAAATGATAATAATAAATAAAATTAAATAAATCCTTTAAAAAAAAAAAAAGCTCCTCCCTTGAGAAGCTCAGACAGGCAAGGGAAGGCAAGGGAAGTCCAGACACAAGAAGCCAAAGACAACTATTTAGTGGAGGTGACATTTCAGTTGAGCCTTTAAGTAGGAATAAGAGTCCAGCAACTGAAGGTCCCACTCTATGGGGACTCACATAGGTTCTTCGTTAGAAGTTGGGGTACTCTCAGATCTCACGGGGGATGAGAGAACCTGAGCAGACGTGCTGTCTAGTTCTCTTCCACACTTTCACATCACCACCTCACCTCATGGTAGGGTTAGCCATGAAGCCAGATGAAAAGAGGCTACCAGGGGTTGTGGCCTCTTGCTGGTGCCCATTCTCTGCTTAGCCTCATCTTCCTTCCCAGGCCTCCTTTCTTAACCTCACAACTTACATTTTTGAATCTTCACCACTCTTCACTTCTTACCTGCTCTTTCTTCTGACTCTGGCAAAGCCCTTCTCAGATTCCCAGAGCACACTGGCTCAATAACACCAGGAACATAGAATGGAAACTATGAAGGCACCAACCTGGACAGTCCAGCGGAAGCCTTCCTACTATATCCTGGTACCAGGGCTGCCCAGAAGGTACCTTTAGTAGCCATACTCCTTAGGAGCCAACCCTCATAGGCTGTGGCACCCTTGGCCAATTAGCTTCCCTTTTTCTTAACCTTAGATGCTGCAAGGAAACAAAGTAAAGTCAGGCCCTAATGTGGGAAGGGAGGAGACAAGAAATGCCACAGTTACAGAGAACTCAGGGAGACTCATGTGCATCTTCACACAGACTGTCTTCGGGCACCAGACATTGGCACAGCAGCAGTTAAGCTGCCCACAATGGGAAGAGTCCTTGGTTTGCTATCTGGGCCATCCCTGAGTCAGCCAGACATGCATATGTGCACACGTGCCTGCCCACAAGCCAGGCCAACTGAGACTGGGGGTGGATAGCAGGATATAGATCATATGGGGGTAATTGTCTCGGTCTCTCTCCAAAGAAATATTTTCTTTTCTTTTAAAGAATTAATTGTATTTATTATTATTTTTAAATTTGACCCAGAGAAAGAGGGAGGGAAAGTGAGAAAGCAAGCCACCAGGTCAGGGACATGAACTGCGGTTGGCCATAAGGGAGTCCAGCTCCTTAACCACTACATCACCTGCTTGCCCCAAAATATCATTTTTTTAAACTATAGATGGAAAAAGTGAAGGCTATCTTCAGTCATATTTGACAGGCTGGCAGAGATAGAGTGAATCCTGGGGCAGAATGGGAACTGGAAACACATATAGGGTAAAAAAGCCTCTGGAGGAAAAAGTCTAAAGGGATAGAGGTGAAAACTCCTGGGTAGGGATGAATGTACCTGGGGGGAGAGATGGGTCCCTCCAGGGGGATAGGAGAACAATCAGAGGGAATCTGGGATTTATTTTTCCTTCTTTTTAAAAAATTATTTTATTTAATTTTTAATTATTATCATTATTACCACTCTTTAATTTGACCAGAGAGAAAGAGAAAGCAAGCCACCAGCTCTGGGACTCGAACCGTGGTCGGTCACGTGGGAGTCCAGCGCCTTCACCACCACCACCTACTGTGCCTCCCTTCTCACTTTTAATTACTCATTCCCTATATACCTAGGTCTCTACATTGGCTGGCGTTGCCCCCATTACCTTTGGGACTGTTTCCGGATTGGGGATGAGTCCAAGTGCTTTTGTGGACACTTGTTAAGAGAGCACCAGATCATCTCAGGTAAGGGAGACCTGGTCAGCCCCCACTGGGTGTGGAGGGATAACCGTACTCCGTCAGGTCTTGGGATGAGAGATTGTGTGTGTTTTGATACAGGGGTAGGGGATTGGCATGGGAAAGCCAGGCCCTCACAGGCGCTGGTCTAACCCTACCGACCACTCCCATTCCCATTGCCGTAGACATATCGGTGCCCTGCCACGTGTCCCAGTGCCGTTGCCTCATGTTCTGCTTTATCCCGTCACGCCCAGAGGAGGTAGGTGAGTTCTGGCTCAGGAGACGGGCCACCTTCGACCCCAAGGCCTGGAGGGCCCAGTGTCGCTGCAAACACAGCCATGAAGATCATTCAGCCACCGGGTGCCATCCCTGCAGACATCGCGGTACCTTCCTGGGCAAGGAGAGGACTGGGTGGGTAGGGGGGTGGATGGGAATAGGATGCAGAGCTTGGCAAGGAGAATGGAGAGCTGGTAGGAGAGACTTAGGCGTGTGTTGGTGAGAAAGTCGTTAGCCCATAGGAATAGCCTAATTCCCTATATTCTTCTCCGCTGCCCTTTTGCCCCAGGCTGTTGCTGCAGCTCTTTTGAATCTAACTTCCTCTGTGCGGCCTGTGACCGGCGCTGGGAGGAACACGAGACTTTCTTTGAGACCAGGGAGACCCGGCGACGAGGAGGGAGGCCTTACGGTGAGGAGACAACCTGGGTCTGGGGACCATCCCAGGGATGGTAGACAGAAGGCCAGGCAGAAAAGCCCTCCTACCTTTGACCCCCCCCCCCATAGTATGTATTCCCTGACCCCAGCATCCCACGCTGCACTGGTTTCCACTCCCAGGAGCAGACTATGTACCTTTCGCAGAGATGCCTGTCCTCCGAGAAGCCACTCTCAACAACTCTGACTTCCAGGCCTTACAGATGCAGGGGTCCTCTGGCCATCCCGATTCCTACCCCCATTTCTCTGGGCTCCCTGGCCCACATGGCCTCCAGCCTGACCCCACATCTGACCCCCGTACCTGACCCTTTCACCCCTGTTCTTCCCTCCTCCAGGGACAGACACTGTCAACAACTGGCGCAGGACTTTGTGAGCCTGGCCCAGATCAGCAATAAAGGGGAAGCCACTGGACTCTGACCTGGATCTGTATGGGGCAGGTGGAGCCCAGCCAAGGGGCAGATGTTTTTAAGACCTTAGAGTTGGCACCTACTTGGGGCAGGAAGGGGCTGGATCCAGCCATCTGCCTCCCTCACATCCACTTTCAAGCTGCTGGCTTTAACATCAGAAGGTTTAAAGGGAGAAGGGAGGAAGTTTCAAGATGTATAGAGGGAACCAGCAGTTAGCGTAATGGCTATGTCACTGGACTCCCACGTAGTCGACCGCGGTTCACGTCCCGGACCCAGTGGCTTGAAACTCATGCCGGGCGCGTGTGCGTGCGTGCCCAAGATCCCGAGAGGAGAATGGAGGAGAAGGGATTGCAGCGTGACCATCCCCCCTGGGGGGTGATTTCTCTCTTTCTGTCTCTATGTCTCTCTCTGTCTGTCTGGCAAGCGCACACGCCCTACAGTGAAAATCTCTCCAAAAAAAAAAAAAGATGTATACAGTGGGCAGTGATGTGAGATGCAGGTGGGGATCCAGTAAGATAAAGACCAAAAAAGTGACCACTGGATTTTGCAATTAAAAGGTCTTTCGAGAATTCAGAGAGTACAGTGTTACAGTGGTGCAGTGGAGGAACAGGCTAAACAGTAAGGAGTTTGAAGGGGTATCTTTAAGAAGTTTGGATGAGGGACCAGCACATGACATAATGGTTACATTGCTGAACTCCCATGTAGTCAACTGCGGTTCAAATCCTAGAGCTGGAGACCTGAGACTCTTGCCAGGTGTGTGTACATGTATGCCCAAAATCCTGAGAGGAGAATGGTGGAGAAGGGATTGTGGTGTGACCATCCCCCTTCTCGCTTTCTGTCTGTCTCTGGTGACCACATGCACCCCATAACAATAACAACAAAAATTCTCAAAAAAAAAAGTTTGGATGAAAAGTACAGAAGTCAGACAATATCCAGAGGGAGATGTGGAATTAAGGAAGCACTTTTTTAGGAAGGAAGGAGGGAAGAAGTCATTAGAACAAAAAAATAAATAAATAAATACCTTAAAGGATACAGAAGTGAGATGAGAGATAGAAATGATCCCAGAGCTGGAGGGAAGAGATGAGGTCAAGGCAACAGTGTAGCAATTCACTCTGGATAAGAGAAACACCACTTTCTACAACGAAGAAGGAATAAAAGATGGGGCCTTCACTGAGCTTCAGGGAACAGGATGTTCCTTGTGGAAGTTCCCCTCTGATGGCTTCTATATCCCCTGAGAAGTAGGAGATAACAACTACTGGTGGAAAGAGAGAAGCATTAGAGTGGGGAGTGGGAGACAGGAGGAGAAAGGTGAAGATTTGGGATGGCTAATGTGAGGAATTGGAGAAAACCCGATCACTGGATAGTTTAGGATTCAGGTACAATAAGTAGAACTTTGTTAGAGGAGCAGAGAAAAAAAAACAGATTAAAGGGTGAGAGAGGATATAAAGGGAGGGTATAAAAATGGTCAGAAAAATAACACAAAAGGAGATGAAGATGTAGAGTGAGCAGACTCTATAAATAGGGGAAAAAACAAAGCTAGAAAGCAACTGAAAGATTGAAGAAAAGAAGCAAAGATATTGAAGTTTCTGATGAGACCCAGCAGCAGATGTAGTGCCAGGGACTGGAGTTGAGTGGCCTTAGCCAACAGACCATAGTAGCTTTCAGATGAGAGCCTCTGCAGGTAATGACAAGTGCTTAAAGTACAGAAGACTGGGAGCCAGTAGTCAAAATCAGCAACTGCAGGGACCAGCAGATGGTGTAATGGTTACATCTCACTGGACTCCCCCATAGTCGACCTCTGTTTGAGTCCTGGACCCAGTGGTTAAAACTCATGCCAGGTGTGTGTGTGCACATGCCTCTCAAAATTCTGAGAGGAGAAGGGATTGCGGTGTGGCCATCCCCCAGGTGGTGATTTCTTGCTTTCTATCTCTCTCTCTCCAGCAAGCACAAGCGCCTTATAGCAAAGATCTCTCTTAAAAGAAAAAAAAAAAAAATCAGCAACTCTGGAGGAGTGAGTAGAAAATCCATATATGAGTCTTATGGGAGTAGGAGATTCTGACACTAGTGAACTCTGTGATCCCATGCAAGTTACTTTCCTTGGGCTTTAGTTTCTGGCTGTATAAAACAGGAATAACCCGTGTTGTGTGCTCTCTATGAGAACCCAAAGAAATCACCAATTTCAAGATGCTTTGTACTCACCTACCTCTCCAGGCTCCTCTGTACTCACTGGTTTCCAGGCTGTACTCCAGGCTGATTTCCTTGGTACTCACCTACCCCTCCAAGCTGGTTTCTCTCCTCTTCCTAGATCCCAACTCCACTTATCTTTTACCCTAGGCATCCCCAAGATTTTCCCCGTGTCCCTGGGAACATAGACAAGGGCATAGAGGGGCAGTCTCTGGGCACAAAAAAGAGGCCATTCTATCCTTTTTCACATTTAGGGAGGCTATCTGTCCTCCCAAGGGAAGGAATGCAGCTTGGATTGCTAGAAATCTTGGGGGGAAAATCACAGAATTAAATGTCTGCCTTGTGGAAGTGAAAGGACTTTCTATAGTAATAAAGCTCTACATAAGAGATTTACTATCTCGAGGCCAGCAGATGGTGTAACAGTTATGTCACTGGACTCTCACATGGCCTACCATGCTTTGAGTGCCAGATCTGGTGGCTTCAAATTCATGTTGGGCATGTGTGTATGTGTGCCCAGTCCCTAGAAAGGGAGAAGGGATTATGGCATGGCCATGGGGGGGGGGATGATTTCTCACTTTCTCACTGTCTCTGTTTCTCTCTCTCTGGCAAGTGCACGTGCCCTAAGGCCAAAACCTCTTTAAAAAAAAGAGAGAGATTTACTAGCATAGAAAAAGAGTTCCTCAACACTGGTTATATATAATCACGATAGCCATTCACCTAGAGCAAATTCAATTAATAGTCTACAGTAATGGAAGGGTTACTATGATAAACTCATTCAAGGAAATATTATGCAACCATTACAAAATATATGAATATAAACTAATAACATAAAAACCTGATTATGGGACTGGCAAGTGGCTTGGTGAATAACGGCGCTCAGTTCCCACATGGTTGACTGTGGTTCGAGTCCTGGACCTGGCAGCTTACTTTCTCGCTTTCCCTTTGTCTCTCTCTCTCTGTCTCTGTCTGGTCAAATTAAAAAATAATAAATGGAATTAAATAATTCTTTTAAAACTGATTATAAGTGGGAGACTTTGCAAAATGATAATACAGATTAATATTAATATATGTATAATGTATGTGATGATATATATTATGAGCAAAAACACCAAATATTATTCATTCAGCAATTATTGAGCACCTCTAGATGTCAGTCCATATGCTAAAAAAAAAAAAAAAAACTAAAAATAAAATGATAACTTGTCCTGTGTGTTAAATATCAGACTAAAAGCTATTGGTGCCTGAGTATATTAGCATTTTCTAACCCCATGTTTCTTATGTAAAAAATGTTAATATTTAACCCAGCCAAGCAAAACTGACTCACTGAAAATACCAGGCACTGATTTAAGGTATCATACCCCTTTTCTGATGAGAAAAGAACACTGAATACATACATACTCCTTTGTGGCACAGATAGGACTGCTTTGCAAAGCAGTTCCAGCTGAGAAGGTTCCTAATTCCTGTCTAGAGATATTCCTACCTACTGGATGCTTGCCCATGATCTGGGGCTGGCTGAAGCTGGGTGCGAATCCTGATGTTTGGACTCTGTTAGGGTTGCTGTCTCTTTCGTATAAAAAATAAACTTTAAAAATATATATTTAGGGGTCAGCAGGGGGCATGGTGGTTCAGGTGCTGGACTCCCACATGGCCAACCGTGGTTCAACTTCCAGACCTGGCATCTTGCTTTCTCATTTTCTCTTTCGTCAAATTTAAAAAGTGATAATAAATAAAAATAATTATTTAAATATATATTACATGTATTTTTAAAGTGCAAAAACAACTCTGAAAACTGCACTTTATAGAGTGAATATGCTAAAAAGAACATATAATTAAGGAGAAATTGCCCTTAAATGAGTAAGTTAAAAATCTCTGAAATGCTCAAAGGGCTGAAACTACCTTTGGAGAGAAATGCTAGGTATGGACCCCATCGGTTAAACATCTCAGTCCCAGCCCAGGTGGTTCCTGGAGCCCAAGAGCGCCGAATATTCTCAGAACTCTACCCACCACCCACCCGCGCTGGGCTACGCAGTGGAAGGGTCTAAAGTACTCTTATTTAGCTCTTTGTGCAGCAGGTGACATGGCCCGCCCTCGTTCTCGTCCTCCGTGCTCAGGGGTAAAGGCTAGACAAAAATACGACGAGCCCAGAACATTAGAGCCCCACCCACACGGGAGCCCCAATCCAAACAGTTCGAATGTCAGACATTAGATCCAACTAGGGAAAAAGTCCCTCTTCATATTCCTTAATCCGATCGAGTGGAAATTTATTCTGTAGCAAAACTAGCTATTGGGATCCAAAGGAAAGAACGCTCACGCAGACGAGAAAGAGAAGCCAATGGAGAGGAGATTTGGCCCTGCGTTTACGGAGGCAGCCAATGAGATCAAAGTTTCTGTCTTTGAGGTAGCAGCGGAACCAATGGGAAGGCAGGGCGCCCGCACCCGCCTCCCGGCCGCGGGCGGAGCCAATGCCTCCGCTCCCGGACTCCAGAAGTCGCCCTCCCGCCCGCAGCAAAACCCGGTGGCTCCGGGAAGATGGCGGCGGCCGTGCTACTGGCTGCGGGGTTGTGCGCTGCCCGCAGAGCCGTGGTGGCCACGGTGCCGCGCGGGGCACAGGTGAGAAGTGGCCGTGGGGACTAGAAGCGGGTTCTACAGGGTCTCAGGTGCTCCGGGGCCTGGGGCAGCGTTCCTCCGGTCTTCCGAAGGCGCGCGCAGCCCTGCGGCCTCGCGGAGCAGGAACCCGAGGGCCCCGCTGTGGCCGCCCCTGCTCTTGAAGCGCAGGCTCCCGTGCTGTGCGGCGAGGTGGGACTGGTGGCCACTGTAGAAGCGGACGGCCGGTGAACCCCTGCCCTGCACAGACCTGGGCGCCGAGTTCCGGACAGGGTCACTGCAGTGGCTGCAGCCTTCGCCCGCCTGAAACCCAGCTGACCAGCGCCTGCCGCGGGCAGCGTCCTCAGTGCCCCGACAGAAAGCGAGCGTTCTCTTCCCGGAGCCAACCCTCACTGGCCTTCTAAAGAGCGCCGGTGTTAACCCTCAGCTTCCCCACTTGCCAGAAGCAGCTGGGGGTTTAAAGTCTAGTTCATACCATCCCTTTCTCCCCTAGTTCGTGACTTCATCCTTCTCGGAGCCCCTAGGAAACAGACGTTTCCAGCCCTTATCCTCTAAGGCTTGGGGAGTAGAGTTCACTTACTTAGCTGAACTCACCTCCATTCATTCCGAGGACAGGAGTTAAAATTCAGTGTAAGAGGTTGGATGTGACATCAGATGAGAAATCAACTCGCATAAAACAGGGCAGTTGCATTAAAGCTAAAAATTAAAGATAATGGAAAAAAAATTAAGATAATGGTACTGGGACCAGCAGGTGGTTAAGGTGCTGGACACTCCCACGTGGCTGACCACAGTTCAAGTTCCAGACCTGGTGGCTTGATTTTTCACTTTCCCTCTGTGTCTCTCTCTGGGCAAATTATATAAAATGAATGAATAAATAAAATTAATTCTTTAAAAAAAAAAAAAAGAAAGATAATGGCGTTTAAAGGTCAGAAAACCAGGAGCCAGCAGTTAGTGTAATGGCTATGTCCCTGGACTCCCATGTAGTTGACCGCGGTTCAAGTCCCAGACCCGGTGGCTTAAACTCATGCTGGGCGCATGTGCATGCGTGCTCAAGATCCCAAGAGGAGAAGGGATTGCGGAGTGGCCACTCCTGGGGTGTTGGTGGGGGGAGTTCTCACTTTCTGTTGTCTCTCTGTCTCTCTCTTTCTGGCAAGCCCATGCGCCCTATAGCAGAAATATCTCTCAAAAAAAAAAAAAATCAGAAAACCAGATCAGCAAATGCCATGGACTCTCACATGGCTGATTGTAGTTTGAGTCCTGGACCTGGCAGCTTGCTTTCTCACTTTTTCTCTCTCTGGTGATTGTAAAATAATAAAATTAAGTCTTTTAATTTAAAAAATCAAAAAACAAGTAAAGGAAATACAGGAGGCACTCCTCACTTAACTACCAGGTTCTGTTCTTACAAGTGTTTCAGTGAATTGGTTGATAACTGGGAGCTTAAAAGCAGATGGCTTGTGGTGTGTCGTGGCACCATAAGTATGTATTTTTAATAAATATTCCTTGACACCACACTAGAATAATGTAATTCTATCCATACAAAAAGCATACATCAGATAAACTTCAGAAAGCAACAAGACACAACAATAATATAAATCTGGTGTAATTGTTTTTATTTCTTCTGAATAATGAAAAGACCTAAAGGAAACTTGTTAACTTTATTTTAATTTGCATCTCTTACATACTACAGAATGTAAAAAACACAATCAGCAAAAATTATAAAAATGACATACCCGAAAATTAAAGTTCATTATAAAAAAGAAAAGACTTTCAGATTACTATTTTAGTCATTGAATCGTTCAAAGTGTGGCAATGGTTCAAGGTCATTACACAAGTGAATATTAACAGACTTTGGGAATGAGATCAAAGATTGAGGGGATTGCTGTGATTTACACAAACTAAGAAAAAGGATTCCACATACTGGAGAACTGGTTAAGTCCTAACAGTCATTAGACAGGTTGCTAAGCGGAAATACATTAATACGGTGAGTGAATAGAGTTTGAAATCATCTTAAGAAATGATATAAATCACTCCTGTATATTTGAATCTGAGAGTATGGATTTATCTGAGGTAATTCAGTGGTAAAATAGGAACCAAGATGTAAATCTCCAGTCTCATCCTAGAATCTTTGCCCCAAACAGCTCTAGATTCCATACTAGTTAGTAGGAATCGATTGCATTTCTGAATCCTGCATGGTAATATTGCCTGTTAGCTAATCAGGGCCAGCACCATCTGCTCCTACCCTTTTCTATTTATACTCAAATTCAGCAACTTTTCCCTTGGTTGGGAACTGCTAATAGGGTCTTCTTTTTTTTTTTTTTTTTTTTTTTTAACTTCCCAGAGTGTACATATACTTGCTGGAGAGAGACAGAGAAAAAGAGAAAAAGCATCCTCCATGGGATATGGACACACAACAATCCCTTCTCCATCTCTCCCTCCTTTGAAGATTTTGGGCACATGGGAAACAGCAGTTAGCGTAATGGCTATGTCGCTGGACTCCCACGTAGTCAACCACGGTTCGCATCCCGGACCTGGTGGCTTAAAACTCATGCCGGGCACGTGTGCATGCGTGCCCAAGATCCCGAGAGGAGAATGGAGGAAAAGGGATTGTGGCGTGACCATCCCCCCTAGGGGGTGATTTCTCGCTTTCTGTCTCTAATGTCTCTGTCTGTCTGGCGAGCGCACGCGCCCTATACTGAAAATCTCTCCAAAAAAAAAAGATTTTGGGTACATACATGCCTAGCATGTTTCTCAAGCCACTAGGTCTAGGACTCAAGCTGTATAGTCGTCCATGTGTGATCCAGCTCACATAACTACCAGGCCATGGCATGGCCCTGCTAGTAGGCTCTTAAAAGGATGAGGCTGATAACTGTCAGAGCCAGCTTCTGCCAGTCCCAACTGTGCACATGGGAGAGGTATTGCCAGTTTCTTCCTTTAGTTACGTCTGACCCACATCAGGTTCGAGGAGCTGCAAGTGTGACTGATGGGAATGAAGTAGCCAAGGCCCAGAAGGCAGCTCCTGGGGGAGCAGCCCCAACCGTCTTCTCCCGGATCCTGGACCGAAGCCTCCCAGCTGACATTCTATATGAGGACCAGCAGGTGGGGTGCCCATAAGACCTATCCCCTCAGGAAGTTCATAGATAGTATCCAGCCTGTTGAAGTAACTTGGTGGCTTCGGGCCTATCACTGTTCCCAGTGTCTTGTGTTCCGTGACGTGGCCCCTCAGGCTCCTGTGCACTTCCTGGTCATTCCTAAGAAGCCCATTCCTCGGATTAGCGAGGCTGAAGAAGAAGACCAGCAGGTGGGAAGAATAGGGCCAGGGTTTGGCTGGGAGGAAGCCTGGACACAGCTAGAGGTTTTGCTCCCTCTGAGTAAAACCACCTATGTCCCTCCCCATTTCCTTTAGCTTCTAGGACACCTACTCCTTGTGGCCAAGAAGACAGCAAAGGCTGAGGGCCTAGGTGATGGATACCGACTTGGTGAGTGGTTTTGGGCCCTTGGACCCTTACCTATAAATTCTCATTCCTACACTGTCATTCTTTGATCTCTCCCATAATCCCGACCCTCTCACACCACTTGACCATTTCAGTGATCAACGATGGGAAGCTGGGCGCACAATCTGTGTATCACCTGCACATCCACGTACTTGGGGGCCGACAGCTCCTGTGGCCTCCAGGTTGAATCTGCCAACTGACAAGGACCCCAGTTCTGGATGCTTGGTGGGGATGGGAAAATGGAACGCTGTGATGCTAATAAAACTACTCTCCCTCAGTTTTGCATCCCTGTCTTAAACATGTCGAGATATATACCACAAAGAGGGAAGAAAACTGATTCAGGGCTATTGGTCCCCCTTAACTGGTCTGTGAGCGACTGAAGAGGCCCATCCTGTATTTTTAAAGGAGCACTTTCCTCACATCTATAAATCCTCATGACTAGTGGTCCACCCTATGTCAGGCTTCTAGAAAAGTAGCAGTAAGAATGAGCCTGAATGAGTAGGAATAGACTGAAATCCAGGTGTAAAACTTGTTCAATCCTAGCTCTAATTCAAAGGCCAAACTGGGAGGAGGGTGGTCAATATGAGGGCTTTTTATTGGAGAAGAAGAAATCAGCTAAAAAGCTGCTACCCTTTCACTACGTGTGTCTCATCGATTTGCTCTCAAGCTGCTTAGTGTCTTCATCCTTAAAAAAGCCTTAAAGACTCCTCCACTTTGAGAAAGAACTAGGCAATTTAAAGGAAAACTACTCTTGATTCTCCGCAAACACACTAAGTAGTTTTTGTCTAATCCCATTAGCCCTGTGCCTGTCTCCAAAATATCCCCCATTAAAAACCATCTTAGCCATAAAGAATCCCTCCTGGGCATAGTGAGGTCTTAGTTCAACGGAACCTTGAAAACCCGGCTGAGGCGAAATGGAGTCGGAACGGAAAACCGACCTCCCAGTCCGCTCCAGCTTTAAGACTTCCGCCCCGCAGAGGACGTTCCTCCATGTCCGCCCAGCTCTAGTTCTGCGCAGTCTCCTCGAGTTGTTTGTCATCTCTATGGCAACCCAGTAGCTCCGAAGATGGAGACCAACGCTGCTAAGGAGGGATCATTGTCGCGGTGAGAGCTGCAGTTTTGTCTGCGAGCGTGGGGGGACGAAGAAGGTCCATGGACGTCCTCTACGTGTTTGAGAACCTTGAGGCCTTCGTTTTCTTTCAGATCTATGGACTCACAGCCCAGCTCCGAAGGACTGGGGCACACTTCGGAAACGTTTTCTTCTGGAGGTCCTGGGTCTGCCCCGATGGCCGCGAGCACAGCAGCTGCGAAGACTGCATCAGCTGCTGCACCCACAGCAGCCGTTGCCCACCCAGCTGCTTTGTCTACCAAAAGCTCAGAGCCCTGTTCTGAGTTCACGGAGCTGTCCTCTAACCTCAGTCTTCCTGGGGATCCCTGCACTGGACCCAGCTTTACCCACAGGATAGGCAGTGGGAGTCTTGGCTTTGAGCCCTCCTATATTTCCTGTATTGCTCAGGATCCCTGTGCTACAACTGATTTTAGCTCTAGCCCGGGCCCTGGCCTTGGCCCTGGCTCTGGCTCTGGGTCAGGTCCTGGTGATAGCTCTGTCCCTGGCTCTGGTTTTGGCCCTGGTGTTGGCTCTGTCCCTGGCCATGGCCCTGGTCCTGGTGTTGGCTTTGTCCTTGGCCGTGACCCTGGCCCTGGCTCTGGCTCAGGGTCAGGTCCTAGTGGTAGCTCTGTCCCTGGCTCTGGCTTTGGCCCTGGTGTTGGCTCTGTCCCTGGCCATGGCCCTGGTCCTGGTGTTGGCTTTGTCCTTGGCCATGACCCTGGCCCTGGCTCTGGCTCAGGGTCAGGTCCTGGTGGTAGCTCTGTCCCTGGCTCTGGCTTTGGCCCTGGTGTTGGCTCTGTCCCTGGCCATGGCCCTGGTCCTGGTGTTGGCTTTGTCCTTGGCCGTGGCTCTGGTCCTGGCAGTGGCTCTGTCCATGGTCATGGTCCTGGTCCTGACAGTAGCTCTGTCCATGGCCATGGCTCTGGTCCTGGTGGTGACTCTGACCCTGGCCATGACTCTGGCCCTGACTCTGGGCCTGGTGCAGACTCTGGACCAGGCCCTGAGCACAGCTTCCACATTCCTCCAAGGTTCAGAAACCTTGGGGCAGATCTGGTCCCTAATTATACATGTTGGAGTCCTTACTGCCACTGGGACACTCAGAAACAACCACCCTGGAAATTTTTGCAAGTCTCAGAACCTGGTTCCCGAGGGCTATGGAAGCCCTCAGAGGTTGAAGGGAAGCCTAAGTTTCTCTATGAAACATTGCCGCGGGGCCAATGCCTCCTCTACAACTGGGAAGAAGAGGTATTAAGGTTTTGACCTGTTCCTTTTCTTGAAAGTTGCCTCCACTTTCCTTGGGGAGACCATGTCTTATGATGAGGGTGGGTTCCAGAAGGGCTATCATAGTTACTCAGTTTGGGCCCACAGAGAGCCACCAACCACTTGGATCAAGTCCCAAGCGCCCAGGATGGCTCTGAGAGTTTCTTCTTCCGACATGGACACCAAGGACTTCTGACCATGCAACTGCAATCACCCATGTCCTCCAGCACCACCCACAAAGACTCATACCAGCCCCCAGGAAACCTTTGTCAGCCACTGCGAGGTGTGAAGCATGAGAAAGGGCCAGAATGAGTCCACTAAAGAAAAAAGGGAGGAAGTAATTGCCTCCTTTTCTCCACTTTGTTTTTTTCTGGGCCTGCTACTTAACCAGGCTCCCGCTCTACCCACCCCCTGCCCTCCCACAGGGAAGCGTGAAGCCATGCTGGAAATGTTCCTGTACCACCAGATCTGGTAAGATACCGGGGAAAGGTGAGAAGGGAGAGGGAAGAGGAAAATAGGGGAGAATGGCCTCGATACTCCCCAGGGCTGCATAGTAAAGAGGTACAGGTAGAGCAGGAACCCACAAGAACACTCTCTGAGGTGGAGTCTGTGACACACCATGACTACCGAACAGAGCTGGTCCAAGCAGAGCCTCCTACCCCAACAAAGGTGAGAACCCACCCACCCAACTTGCACAGCGGCGGGGCTCTGACAGACTGTGGGAAAGCTGCAAGCCCAGAGGCTAAAGGCCAAGAGTTAAGTCAGTATCTCTCCCTCACAGCCTCATGACTACCAGCAGGAGCAGCCTGAAACCTTCTGGTTACAGAGGGCACCACAGCTACCGGTGTGTGAGGACAATGAGGTCGGGGCAGAGGTTTGGGGAAGAGTGGGATTGGTCCTCATACTGGCACTTCTCCAGGGTGTCAGTAACATCAGGACCCTGGACACACCATTCCGGAAGAACTGCAGCTTCTCCACACCAGTGCCCTTGTCTCTGGGGCAGCCTGTGCCCTATGAACCTGAGAGTTACCCTTACCGAATGGGAGAAATATCTTCCCTGGCCTGTCAGGGAGGAAGGCAGGGTGGTGGAGGGAGGAGAACAACTCCTGTTTAAGGATTAAGGAGAAAACTGAGATACGGATTATGAAATCTATCTCTGTCTGTACTAGGGAAGGGAGCAGAAGTTAATCTGTCCTTGATAAAGGGGCTTTACATAAAGGGTGCTCTCTTATCCTGAGACTACTAATTCATTGATTCTGCAAGTTACTGTGTATGCCTCATAACATTTCCTTACGGTTACCCCTACCCCAGACTGACACCATGATTTGTTGTTGTTGTTTTATATTTGGCCAAAATATTCTGGTTTAGATACAGATATTTACAGAAGGTAGGGAGGAAGGGACCAAGCCAGAGAGGGGCAGGTATATGTACAAGGCTGAGCTGCAGAAGGCTACAACTTCCATATAAGGTAGATTTTTATGCATGTTTTTCATCTCATGTGATAATGTCCATTTCTAGTATGTGGAGAACTAGTGGCCACTGCCCACCCAGGTACCAGCAGCAGGAGATTGTCTGACTTGGGAAGAACTGGGGTTTACAGGAGTCCAGAAGGTCCTTTCCGCTCTCCTAGGAGCCAGTAAGTTCGCATCTTTCCTTTTCCCTGGAAGTGGGAGAGTGGACATAATTCAGAGTCTTCTACATTACTCCCTTTATCTCCCTCTCTTTCCCCATAGCCCCATAGTCACTTTTATCCTCCCTTTTTGTGACCCCTCCCCTCCATGGTCTGCTATCACCTTCATCTCCACATCCCCTCGAAGCTCTAGCTGAAAACATCCTAGCTCATCCAGGGCATCCTTGGTCGTAGAGGAGACATGGATCTTCAGGGCTAGGGTGGGATAGAGGATGGTAGAAATAAGAGTCAAAGAAAAGACAATAAGACTGGCAATACTGGAGAAAGCTTTACCCAACCAACCACCCCACAGGAGGCCCCCAGTTCTCCCAATACACATTCACTAGAACCAAAATAGTCATGCACTAAATAATGACACTTCGAGGGGACCAGCAGGTGGCGTGGTGGTTAAGGTGCTGGACACTCCCACATGGCCAAACATGGTTCGAGTCCAGGACCTGGTGGCTTGCTTTCTCACTTTCTTTCTCTTTCTCTCTCTCTGTCTGTCTCACTCTGATCAAATTTAAAAAAATAATAATGACACTTTGGTCAACAATGAATGCATATATGACGGTGGTCCCATAAAATTATACCATACAACCTAAGTGTGTAGTATACCATCTAGGTTTGTGTAAGTACACTATATGATGTTTGCACAGTGATAAAATTGCCTAACAATGCATTTCTCAAAACATATCCTCGTCATTAGGCAACCCATGACTGTATGCCCAATGATGGTTCACTTAGGAGCTCTGATCTCCCAGACTGAGAGATTTGCAGGAATCTGAAGAGGAAAAGGGCAAGACAGATTGAGGCTGAGACTGTGATTGAGGGCTAATGTTTTACCTTGACCATTAGACTCCATTCGAGAAGCAGTGTTCACTGTGTCTCCAAAAAGGCAATAGCGGGGCATCTTCAGACCAACCACCCCAGCACAAACTGGCCCTATGAGGAAAAAACATGTTGGGAGAGCCCTGGAAAGGTGAAGACTAGGGCTGGGGTGAGAGTCAGCCTTACCAGTATGGACCCCTATACGTAGCCTCAGCTGGTCATGTGGTCGGTGGCGGATGCGAAAGGAAGAAACTGCATCCAGTAACGCTAGAGCCATACGAGCAATTTCTGGTGCATGGCGTTGACCATTTCGGCCTGGGAGGCCAGATACCACCATATAGGCATCCCCAATGGTCTCCACCTGATTGAGAATGGGATTAAAAGGTCACTTCTGTGTCAGTAGAAACGGGAAAGAGGAGAGTGAGATAAGCTGGACACCACCATGAGTCATCCTGACAGCCTGGGAGGCCAGAATACAAAGTAATGTCATGGTCCTTCCTAGGGGGGAAGAGGAAGTAAAGGAATCTTTAGTGCCTCCCTCCTTACCCCAGTACCTGGTAAGTACTCAGTATACATTTGCTAAATGAATGGACACCCTGTCTGCAACATGGACAAATAGGCTCTGATATCGGGAAATGGGAAGCAAGAAAACAGGTTAAATTAAAAAGCAGAAAGGCCAGTGAGGTAATAAAGCAAGCCCAATGAAATGGGCCAGACAGCCCAGACAGAAGATAAAAGCAGACAATTGATTTTGATAATTAGACCAAAGTCATGTAAGGGAATTCCTTCCTTTTAGTAAATACACAGTGAAATTTTTAGGAAGTGCATCTTAAGACTATAGAAATAGGGACCAGCAGTTGGCATAATCGCTATGTCTCTGGACCCCCATGTAGTCGACCACAGTTCGAGTCCCAGACCTGGGGCTTAAACTCATGCTGGGTGCATGTGCGTGCGTGCCCAAGATCCCAAGAGAAGAGTGAAGGAGAAGGGGTTGCAGCATGGCTATCCTCCCTGGGGGGTGATTTCTCACTTTCTGTCTCTCTGTCTGTCTCTTTCTAGTGAACACACGTGTCCTATAGCAAAATCCCCTCAAAAAAAAAAATATATATAGGGATAAACAAGTACTATGTCTGACATTTTTAAGTGGCTCAGAAAATGATAGACCAGTAGATAACTAACGATAGATAAATTGGCTTGGTGGTGGCACAGAGGTAACAACCGGACCCACTGGTTCATTCCCATGACTTTCTTGACCATGCCAGGTGTGCACACACATGCCCATGATCCAGGCCAACTGAGACTGGGGCTGGATTGTCATGTGGGAACCCTGTTGGGGATCCCTTTCTTTTTTTTTTTTTTTTCTCTGTTTCTTCTCTCATTGAAGAAATGAATAAATTTTATTAAATAACACAAATGGGGGAAAACAAACTGACAAGTCTAGGTAAAGGGAACATTTCTTTTTTACAGAATAACAGAGATGGTAGAGTAAGTCTGCAGGGAAGAAGCAGGATTTGGATATTTATTATCTGCCATGTGCCAAATATAATAGGCACTGTCCAAGCAACAAATCTGTTATTCTCATCCTACAGATAAAACAACTGAGACTCATTCTGTTACTTACCCAAGGCCACAGAGTTAGTAACAAAGCCAATATTCAAATCAGATCATTTTTACTTCCCAGGACAATAAAGCCAACCTTCTGCCAACTCAACAACTTCAACAGAAAGCTTCACAACATTTTTTCATATCTTTCCCCTCACCCCACAAAATTATTCTGTATCCACATCCTGTATGATCCTTTCATGTCTTAAGGGAACTGGAGGGAAAAGATGGAGTCTGTATTTATACCCCCGGGGAAGATATGGGCTAAATCTTGTGATTTAGAAGGAAAGCCTAAAGAAAGCCATATCTGTCTACAAAGTGCACTCCAGCACCAGGATGCTGGAGACCCTAGAGGGAAAACTGACCTGAGTAGGTAAGGTATATGGGGTTGGGGAAACTGGGTTTTAAAAG